TCGTCTTTTTCTCATCACGTGTAAACCAACCCTGCGCGTTCGAACGCGTTATTGTCACTTGTATTGCCGGTGAAGCCACTCATACTTTCTCTCGTCCATCATGTCGTCGCTGCCACCCCAAATCCCCCTCTGCGATGGATGCGAGACCATATTCACTCAATCGACCCTCCTCCCCAGCGCCACTCTCACCGCCGGACTGCTTGCAATGTTGCGCAATGGTGGGCACGGGCGCCCCTCTCCCGAACTGCGCGCAATAATTGCCGCCGCGCCCGCAGAGCTCGCACGGTACGACGCAGAGCTCACCCGCCTCGACGCCATCTTCGGGCAGATCGTCGCCGGCCGCAACGCGCTGCAGGGCCTGCACGACCAATGCGTCGGTATCGAATCCCCCATCCGCAGATTGCCCACCGAGATCCTCGTGCAGATCTTCGCGCACTTCGAGGCGCCGAAGGAGTGGGACACGAGCCCCATCTTGGCGCCGCAGTGGGAAAAGAAGGCGAAGCAGGAGATTGCGCGCGTCGCGGGTGGGCGGCTCGCCGCATTTTCGCAGGTGTGCACCCGGTGGCGCCGCGTCGTCTTTGGGACGGCCACGCTGTGGCAAACGATCAATTTGGATCTACGCTGCTGGACGCTCCCGGTGGAAACGGCACACGCGAGCTACCTGCACCAGCGCATGATCAACTGCCTCGTCGTCGCATTGGAGCGCGGGCAGCAGACGCCGCTGACCTTGAATGTGCATGGGGCGGGCGAATGCCACCCGCGCGCGATCCAGACGCTCGCGCACTCTTCCACGCGCTGGCGCGCAGCGTCGTTCACGCTCGAATGCACGATGCTCAAGAACCTCGCCGCCGTTGCGGGCAACCTCCCGCACCTCGAGTCCCTCACCCTCCACGGCGTCAACGAGGATATCGGGGCCCTCGCGGATGTGATGGAGTATTTCTCCTGCGCACCGCGGCTCCGCACGTTCGAGTTTTGCGGGCCAGTTGCCGTGGTGGCACGTTTGCCACTCGAGCAGCTGCGTAGCTGCACCTACAGCGGCGTCGGGGCGGACGACATCGTCCACCTCATCACGCAGATGGCGCGGTTCCCCAGAGGCGGGGCGATCTACGCGCAGCTCAATTTCGAGGAGATCAGCGCTGCGCTGCCACTCGAGTTACCCGAAGTCGAGTCCCCCATCGAGAAATTCGGTGTCTACTCGCTGCAGCACGACGGGCCCGGGTCGCAGGGCGTCCTCGGCGCGATATTTGGGACGCTCACGCTGCCACACCTGCAGGAGCTGAGTCTCCTGGGTATGCCCATCGACGAGCAGTGTCTTCAGCCCTTGCATTGGCCCCAATCCGCGGCCCGTGCGCTCTTCGCGCGGTCCGGAAGCGGACACACCCTGTTCTCGCTGTCCCTGCACGACGTCTTCGTGAGCGAGCACGAGCTCCTTCAATGCCTCGCCGAGCTCCCCTCACTCGCCTACCTCTTCATCTCCGACCACCTCGCTGTCGACGGTATTCCCGGCACCCAAGACCACCTGATCACGGACTCCCTCCTCGCGAAGCTATCTCCGGCTGATAATGATGATATTCATACCGGACTCGCGCCCCGCCTCGTCCCCAACCTCGCGTTCCTCGACATGCGCTCGCTCGGCGCCTTCACGCCCTCCGTCCTGCTCAACTTCCTCGTCGCGCGCGCGAGGGGGAACTTAAACGGCAAGTTCGAGTGCGCGCTGCTGTGGTTCCCGGGGCATCGTCTCTACGTTGATGCGCAGAGGATCGCGTTTCTACGGCCGTGGGTTGATAAGGAGTTGTTGTTGTTCATTTGTAGGCAGTTTGACCCGCGAGAGGACTACAAGTGATGTTTTAGTTGTCTCGTATACGCATTCCCTTAGATTTATGTATTTCTTGTCTTTGCAGATCTAATTGTACCGTTTCTAGAATATTCGGAATGAGCTGATTCACAAACAAATGAATGTGTAGGTTAGTATCAGAGCGAGGGGAGAATGACGAGCGTTACCGAGCCCTGTTGCTAGAGGCCGGGAATATTCGATGGAACCTGAGTGTAGGAGATGCTATTTACGGTAAGAATTGAATTCGACACTTAAGGTGGTTGATATTGAGGATTTGCACAGACAGACCGGGCGTGAAATGAAGCTGTTAGGATCTCAAAAAAAAAGAGATGGCAGGCGATCTTCATCGGATGGCTCGGCCCCAAGTCGAACGGGTGGTCTGCAGGCAATGAATCAGTTGCATGGTAGCAAACGCGCGCCCTGCGCAACCGAACAACTTGGGCACCTGGATTCGAAACAGAATTTTAGGCGTCTCTTCAATGCCATGTTATTTCCATGTTCCCCTCTTAATCCGCTCGTTCATTCAAGGTACGACCAGGAAGAGCACTAAAACACGCATTGAAATTGGCCAGACGCGGTTACGAAAGATACTTGGTAAATCAACTACGTCCTGCCTTGCCCGCGCGCCACGCCCGCCCCTCCTCCCCGCACACCCACTGCTCCCACGGCACGCCCGCCCCGGGCCTCCCAACCCTGGCATGTTCGGGGAAGCGCCACTCCCCGGCGTCCCATGCGCGCAGCAGCACGCCGTGGTGCAGCGGCCTTAACCTCTCCTCCGGCTCCTCCTTCACGCCCGTCTCCTTCGCGTCCTTCGCATTCCTTTTCTTCTCGGTCGTGTCCGCGCGCTCACTCGAGGAACGGGAACGGAGCCACATCCTTGCCCCAAGCTCAACCCACCGCACAGGCCGCCACCAGTCTGGCGCACGCGCGAGGTCACCCTGCGCCGCGAGCCACGCGCGCTCCGCCTCGTTCAGCACGCCTTCCGTATCCTCCCCTTTCCCTTTCCCGCCCTCCTCGGGGATGGAGATGGAGCAGACGGGAATCCAGGCGGTATATAGCTCCCCCGCGGGCGTGTACGTGCGCGCGGTCTTGTATACGTGCCGCAAGTGGCGGTGCGGCGCGATGGCTGCGAGCGGTACGTCGGGAACTCGAACTGGAGATTGATAAACCAAAGGGGTGAGCATACAGGAGAAGGGAAAAAAGAAGGGATAACAAGGCTGACCCGTCTTGGAGCGCGTCACCCGTGGCGTGGGCGCGGGCGGCGGAGCGCGTGCAAGCTTCGCGCGCTTCGCAGGCGCATTCTTGTCCCCGCCATCTGTATCCGCCACGCGTTTTGTACCCTGGCCTGTTCCCGTGCTGGCTCCCCGTCCCTCGGCCGCATTCGCATTCTCCTTCACGTTCCTGCATGACCATCAGCGCCCCGCGGCCGCATGCGCAAACGGCGACTTACCCGCCCGTCTCCCCGCCAGCGTCAAGCGCCCTCGCCACAGCAACCGCCGCGCTCCTCCCCGACGGGCTGCGTGTGTTCCCCTGAGACTGAGCGAGGATCGCCTGGTGCAGCGGCGCGAGTGCGCGGCGCACGTTCGCGACGAGGTCCGCGGGGTCGGGATTGCTTGGTGTGCGTACTGGCGTCGTAGGCGCGGGATTGCGGGCTGCTTGCGGTTCGCCTGGGTGCGCACCTTTCGAAGGCGGTGCTGGCACGTTGGGTGCTGGGATGTGATCTACTCACAAGGCAATTAGATACAAGTACAGAGATGAGACCAGACCAGACAAACGCCCACCTCGCTGGCCTCGCTGGCCCGTGCTACCGCTGCCGTCGTGCACTGCGCAAATGGTGAGCGCGAGCGTAATGAATGGATGCAGAGGGGAGAGGACTTACCATTTCCTTGCGTGGGGTTGCGGATTGAGCGGGACTTCGCGCCCACCTTCGTGGGTTCACCTTTGCCGCGCGGGGCGGGTGGCACGTCGGGGTCTACTTACATGGTTACCGAGTAAGGGCACCCAGACCACACGGATTCTTACCTGGCTGTTGCACTGCGAAAATCGTGAGCGCAAGCACAATGATGATGGTACAGCCGGGAGAAAGTCTTACCATTTCCTTGCTGCTTGCGCTCATCACGCACACGCCGCGCGCCGTCCGCCATCATCTCCTCGCTCCGTTTCCTCAGCGCGTCGTTATCTGAGCGTCAATCATCTCAACACATCGCCTCCCTCCTCGCAATTGGAATCATATACATACCTCGTAGCGGGCCACTGAAAATGCGGTCGAGCCGGAGGAGCGCCTGCCAAATTCGGTTCCACTCCACCTGCTCTTCGATGGTCAGTCTGCGCTCCGCGGGCTGCGCCGGCGCACAGAGCAGGGCAAAGTCTTGTCGACCGCGCGCTTCCACTGCGTCGAGGACGTGTAGTCGGGTCCCCCGCGCCAGCGCAGATGCCTCTTCGGCGGAAAACGAGCGGTGCTCCCGAGACGCAGCAGATACTTGTTTTATAAGAACACCGGGAGCGCTGTGGTTTTGGGGCTGTTGATTGGCAGCTGGCGCAGAACGTATATTTTCAGGACTCAGAATGGACGATGAGATGACGGGACGCACTCGGCAGGTTCCCCCGCTGTGAATTCACACTTCCTGTCTTATCATTTTCCTTCCCCTTCGCGTTCTGCGGTATCCTCGCCTCCTCCTCTTCAACTTTAACCCTAACCTCACCAAATCCCGACACCTGTTCGCCCTTGGCTTTCAGGCGCGCCTGCAATACGGGCCCTATCACCGTATTATAGTCCCATGCAGCCCCTGACTCCACACCAATCTCCGCGCCGCCGACGTGGAAGGTGGGCGTCCCGCCAATGTTGCGGAAGATGAGCTCGATGTCCTCGAGCTCCGACGTGCTCCCGTCTGGATGCACGCCGGCCAGCGCGGTGAGGGACGAGAGGGGGAAGGGGATGTGGAATGTCGGGGATCCACCGGTGGTTTCGAAGACAAATCGAGTCGTACGCACCATCGTGGGGGGAAACTTGACGATGAAGGTGAAGGGAGAGGAGAGAAGGTCACAGTGTTACGCTACGTGTTTGTGATTCAACCGGATCAAGTCGGTTCAACTTCCGCTTTCCCCATTGGACCAGCGAAGTTGGAGTCAGACTCCAATACGCGCTATTCCCAATCTCACTGTTGCGGCATCCTTGGTGTAGTGTTAACGCACTCTCTGCATATACTGTCGTTATAATGAGATCTGGGGAGGTCTAGGGTTCAAATGCCTGAGGGTGCATAGCAAGTGTCGACGTTTTTTGGCAGTGAACTTTCCATCTCTTTGCAGATCCTACATACACCTCTACTGCGGTTTCTCGGACATCTCTCGAAATGGAGGAGGACATTGACATATTTTTTTTTACGGGTATGTACATAACAAAAAAGGTGAAAGACCACGGTCGACCATGGGCCATGGCTCGGCCCCGAGTCAAACGGGTCTGCTGTGATCTGTGAAAAATTCCAATTGAATACAGATGCGCACCATACGCAACGAAGCTTACCTCGGTGTCCGAACTCGACCTCAAGGTTCTTGCTACGTAGCAACGGTTGTCCACATCCTCACTTTGTTAAATGTTGAATCATTCTAAAGTGATGGTCTTTAGAATGTTGGACACCGATTGTTCGAGATGGAGGAAAATAAGACATTTACAAAAAATTAAAAAGACATAACCTGTTCGAATGGCTCGGTCCCGAGTCGAACGGGTGGTCTGCAGGAAATCAAACCCGTATATTGACCATCAAATGAAAGCAGATGCGCACCATGCACAACCGAGCCTTGCCCTACTCTTAAATTCGACCCCAACTTTTCAGGAATCAGAAGATTTGGGTCGATAATTGCGCATATATTTCCCGAAAGTTGGATTATTTTTTACGGTCACAGTGTTTAAGAACTCTTTGGACTGTTGAACAGCTTCGAACTGGACGGCGATGGAGACTGATAAAAGAAATTGGAACGGAACATGACTCGGGCCCGAGTCGAACGAGTGGGGTCTGCTGTAATTAATTACTCACTAGGGAGATCTCATTGGTAACAGACGCGCACCATGCGCAACCGAGCCGTCCCCGACCAATTTAGTAGTAAATGTTTGTACCCACACATTCCATTTGTGAATCAGCTCATTCCGAATATTCCAGAAACGGTACAATTACATCTGCAAAGACAAGAAATACATAGATCTGAAGGAAGAAGTACACGAGACAAGTAAAACATCACTTGTAGTTCTCTCGCGGGTCAAACTCCCTACAAATGAACAACAACTCCTTCTTATCGACCCACGGCCGTAGATACGCGATACTCTGCGCATCAACGTAGAGACGATGCCCCGGGAACCACATCAGCGCGCACTCGAACCCGCCGTCAAGGTGCCTCTTCGTGCGCGCGACGAGGAAGTTGAGCAGGGCGGAGGGCGTGAAGGCGCCGAGCGAGCGCATGTCGAGGAACGCGAGGTTGGGGACGAGGCGGGGCGCGAGTCCGGTATGAATATCATCATTATCAGCCGGAGATAGCTTCGCGAGGAGGGAGTCCGTGATCAGGTGGTCTTGGGTGCCGGGAATACCGTCGACAGCGAGGTGGTCGGAGATGAAGAGGTAGGCGAGTGAGGGGAGCTCGGCGAGGCATTGAAGAAGCTCGTGCTCGCTCACGAAGACGTCGTGCAGGGAAAGCGAGTACAGAGTGCGTCCGCTTCCGGACCGTGCGAGGAGCGCATGGGCCGCGGATTGGGGCCAATGCAAGGGCCGGAGACACTGCTCGTCGATGGGCATACCCAGGAGACTCAGCTCCTGCAGGTGTGGCAGCGTGAGCGTCTCAAATATCGCGTCGAGGACGCCCTGCGACTCGGGCCCGTCGTGCTGCATTGAGTAGACACTGAATTCAACGATGGCGGACTCGACTTCGGGTAGCTGGAGTGGCAGCGCAGCGCTGATCTCCTCGAAATTGAGCTGCGCGTAGATCGCCCCGCCTCTGGGGAACCGCGCCATCTGCGTGATGAGGTGGACGATGTCGTCCGCCCCGACGCCGCTGTAGGTGCAGCTACGCAGCTGCTCGAGTGGCAACTGTGCCACCACGGCAACTGGCCCACAAAACTCAACCGTGCGGAGCTGCGGTGCGCACCCGAAATAGTGCATCGCATCCGCGAGGGCCTCGGTATCCTCGTTGACGCCGGGGAGGGCGAGGAGGGTGAGGGACTCGAGGTGCGGGAGGTTGCTCGCAACGGCGGCGAAGTTCTTGAACATGACGTATTCGAGCGTGAACGTCGCTGCGCGCCAACGCCTGGAAGAGTGCGCGAGCGTCTGGATCGCGCGCGGGTGGCATTCGCCCGCCCCATGCACATTCAAGGTCAGCGGCGTCTGCTGCCCGCGCTCCAATGCGACGACAAGGAAGTCGATCATGCGCTGGTGCAGGTAGCTCGCGCGCGACGCCTCCACCGGGAGCGTCCAGCAGCGCAGATCCAAATTGATTGTTTGCCACAGCGTGGCCGTCCCAAAGACGACGCGGCGCCACTGGATGCACACCTGCGAAAATGCGGTGAGCGACCCACCCGCGACGCGCGCAATCTCCTGCTTCGCCTTCTTTTCCCACTGCGGCGCCAAGATGGGGCTCATGTCCCACTCCTTCGGCGCCTCGCAGTGGGCGAAGATCTGCACGATAATCTCGGTGGGCAGTCTGCGGATGGGGCAATCGATGATACCGACGCATTGGTCGTGCAGGCCCTGTAGCGCGTTGCGGCCGGCGACGATCTGCCCGAAGATGGCGTCGAGGCGGGCGAGCTCTGCGTCGTACCGCGCGAGCTCTGCAGGCACGGCGACAATTGTTGCACGCAGTTCGGGGGAGGCGCGGTGCCCGTGCTCGTTGTCACCATTGCGCAAAATTGCAAGCAGTTCGGCGGTGCGAGTGGCACTGGGGAGGAGGGTCGATTGAGTGAATATGGTCTCGCATCCATCGCAGAGGGAGACTTGGGGTGGCAGCGACGACATGGTGGACGAGAGAAAGTATGAGTGGCTTCACCGGCAATACAAGTGACAATAACGCGTTCGAACGCGCAGGGTTGGTTTACACGTGATGAGCAAAAGACGAATGGGTCTAGATTTCGTCCTTCGTTAGTTGTATCGGCCGAACCCGGAACTGGCAACGCTTGGACGAGGACCGGATAAACCTCTCAGAATGGTAGCCACCGCGGTGATATATCTTCTTTGTAGCAGAAGCAATGAAGATATTTGAATCCTGCAATACACGTACACGGGACATGAGGCCTTGAAATGAGTCAGTCTACGGCGTTTCGCACAGGGGAAACACAGGAAACCAGAAGTGGAAAGACGCGGGAGAATAATCGTACTGGATACAAGGTAAACACAGATGCATAATTTTTTTCCAGCAAGGGAGCTGGGATATGAAAATGGAAAGCGCATATAATAGAATGGGAAGAATAAAGTAAAATAGCCAGATGGGGTGAAGAACGAAGAAGACGAACAGTTCACTAACCGGTTGCCGTCGTGCAAGGTGAGGCCCCTTCATCGGACGCGATGAAGCACCAAAGCACCAAAACTGCCCGATGTGCTAGGATGGACGATCGGCTGTAGCAGGAACAGAAACCGAGGGCAATTCCTGTCTTGCAAAAACTATCTCCAGCTCGCGCACATTGGGGATATTGTCTGCCCATCCGCTCGGGTCCAGCAGCAGCCCCACATCGGCTTGCTCCAGGCCAGCCTCACCGCCCTCCGCACGGCAGAACTTCGCAAGGCACTGAACATCCGGCGGGTATCGCGAAGTCGTAGCCAGCCAGCCGCTCCCGCGCGGAACCTCGATGAAGTCCTCCGCGCGTGCGAACCGCGAGATAAACAGGCCCGCCGCGCCCTAAATGGCCGCCACGTCATCAGATTAAATTCAAAATTGAACTCAAGCTACCCGCCTTATACTCCATGCCCTCCAACGACGCGCGCGAGAATGCGCGTCTCTCGCCGCGACACGTCACGATGAGCTGCGGGAACGCGCATTGGCGGGTGGAGCGCATGAATGCGTTCAAAGCCTGCATGACGGGGGAGAGATCCATCGACTCTTTCGTGATGTGGTTGTGGATCGTCGTTTTGGTGGCCTTGGGCTGGGTGGGGATAGCTTGCACCGGCGGCGGGGTTGTCTCTGTCAATTGGGTCATCGGTGTAAGAAGGAGAGGAGTCGATGTCGGGTGTTTTCGGGTATGTTTAGGCGCCGGCACTGCCACATCCCGAGCAGGCTCAAATTCGAAAATATATGAGCAACGCAAGTTACAGGCGCTCCAACGGGGAAAAATAGATGGTAACCATCTCGGTCCCTATATGCCAACACCTCGGAGAAAAAACCCGATTGTCCTCCGGGGCAGCAAAACTGCGTGGTTTGAGGTATTGGATGGCGGTGACTCCGACGCCGGTGAGACGAGGCTCTTACCCTGTCGCGAGAGGACAATATTATGCAGGGAGGCCGGCGCACCGGCGGTGTGTTCCCTCCCTCGGTCCGACCTTCGCGTTACCGGCCAATTCAATTCGAGGCGATTTTCGTGAAGAAAAACATTAATGCAGGTTGTGCATGTACGGTCATAAACCATCGACTCCTCACCCGACCCTCATTGCCCCGCCATCCCGCTCTTCTCACTGCGCCCGTAATAACCCTCGTTCCTTCCCTCACCGTCGTAAGAGTGCCCTGCATTAACACTTTTACTGCCGCCATCATCCCCATCCCCGTCCCCCTCCTCGTCCTCATCATCCGACCTCACATCCTCCGCTTTGGCCGTCACCATCGCTCTACGGGAATAGACCCTCAGTTTCACGCCAAAGCAAAGAAGAAAGGAGAAGTAGTATATGAGCCCCGACTCACCTTACCGCGATCCTCACAATCAAATAATACCAAAACAGATTCAAGAGCTGGAGGAGGCTGAGTGCGGTGAAGGCAGTGTACCGCTGGTAGAGCGGGATCACTACGTTGGCTCTAGTTGAGATTTTCGTCGTTTTAGATGAAGGGAGTCAGTGTTAAACAGAGGGGCGCACGGGAGATACGCGTCCACCTCGAACCAGACGCTCCAGAGGATGGCGAGGTTGAGGTAGTGGCGGAAGTATCTGTGCATATACGAAGATGAGGTCATTTGGCGAGAGAAACAACAACTAGGGGTCGGACGCACGTCCACGCGACGACGAACGCCGCCAGGACGAAATTATTCGTACCGTTCCACTGGATGTAGTTGAGGAGCTTTGACAGCTGTACAATAATTGAAC